TGCGCATACCTATGATTAGCTGCATGTCTATGATGTAGAACGACATCTCTATATGCATACGCATACCTATATATACATATATATATATACACATGTATATATACACAAGACTTGAAGCTCGCTGCGCGTCGCTTGAAAGTCTTGGTGTAGTGCATTGTCAGGGGCAAAGGGGGGGGGGGCAAACAGGCGTAGTGGGCCGAGGCGCAGCTACATGTGCAGGCCAATGGGGCTGCAAGAAACGGCAAAGCACGTGGGGTGATGGAAACAGGGGTGCGCGTTCGACGACGGCGACGGCGACGTTGTCGTCGTCGCCGTCGTCGCCGTCGTCGGTCATCTAGAAGTGGCCCGCGGTTTTCTGGAACAGTTTTGGTGGCCGTTCTGCATTTGGGTTGGTCTGGGTCGACGTTGCCGTCGTTTTGCTCGGTTTCGGAAGGGCCACATGGAGCCCCAGAGACGAATCTGCCTTGTGCCTCGGAACGTGCGATGCAAAGGCTTAGCCAAGGAACTGTTCCAAAAATCTCTCCGTCATTTTTTGTCGTCCGCTGTTTGCCTCCTGGTTGAGCTTTCTGCCTTGGCTGGGATGGTGTCCTACTGCATGGTGCGCGAGACGAGTGAGCCTTGGTTGTCAGAGTTTGTTATGTCACCGTTCGCTCTTGGGAGCCTTGGTGTGAAGAGCTTTTACGGTACCGATCGCTCTTTTCTTTGGCGTATATGGGCCTTCTTAGTGCTCCTTTTCGGGTTGATTTGGGGGCTACCGATCGCTCTTTTCTTTGGCGTCTCTGGCCTCCTTTAGTGGTTTTCGGAATAGTCGGAGTTTTTTTTGCCTATTTGGGACCCTTTGGGGCCGTCTTGGGGCGCTTTGGGGTCGTCTCGGGGCGTCTTGGAGGCCTTGACTCGTCTTGGGGCTCTCTTGGTGGCTCCCTGGGGCCCTCCTGGGGCCCTCTTGGGGCCTCTCGGAGCTGCCTTGGGGCCCTCTTGGGCCGTCTTGGGCGCCACTTGGGCCGTTTTGGCGCCCTCTGGGGCCGTTTCGGGAAGCCTCTTTGGAGCCTCTTGGCCTGTCTTGGGGCTGTCTTGGGGGCATCTTGGACCGTCTTCGACGCCGTAAAGGGCGAAAAGTCGTATTTGCTGAAAATATACGCTTTCCTATGGAAAATCAATGATTTGGGCCTCTTGGGGCCCTCTTTTGAAGCTTCTTGGCCGCCTCTTGAGGCGTCTTGGAGGCCTCTTGGGTTGTCTTGGGGGCATCTTGGGCGTCTGGGAAGGATATTTGGGTGTTTCGGGGCCGTCGTGGACTGTTTTCGGTTTTCTCCTGGAGCCTTTTTGGGGCCCTCAGGGACGGGCCAGAGAAGAGCCTCTGGGCCCCTTGGGACCGCCAGATTCTATTGGGGGGGGGGGGGGTCATCCCTGGTGTGAGATAACTAAGATAGGAATATACACGTGCATACACAAGTTCAGGCACATGCGCATTTACCTGAACTGATACATGTACACACGTACTCGAATATATGTCGGCGGTGCCCGGTGCGGAGCGAACCCCCCCCCCGGTAATCTCTCCTGGGGGGGTTCGAGCCGGCGCCATTCCTGGTGCGAGCCTGCACGAAACCCCCCGGTAAACACAAGTAGGCTGCACGAAACCCCCCGGTAAGGACGCAACCCCTCCGTAAGCGGCGCGCTCCAGGCACGCGCGAACCCCAGCCCCGACGCGCGAATCTTACCAGGACGGGCCGGAACATGGCGGCGGCATTGCATCCCAGGGCCGTGCCAAAACACGGCGGCACTGCTCTTCTCTACGCGGCCGTGCCGTCGACCCCCCACAGCGGCTCTTGGGAGTTGCGCCGCAGCCTCTCGTATTGTGGCCACGAGCCCAGCAGTGCGAACAACAGGAATGCCAGTTCCTCCTCCTGCTCGTCGAGGCGAAAGTCGACAGAGGAGGAGGAAGGAAGAAAGGCGAGGCGAAGCAAACAAAGGCGAGCAGACGCGAATAGAGAACACAAGGCGAGCACACGCCACACTTCGACAGGGAGCCACCCTTCCCAACCGCCCCCCTGCCCCCCCCCCCAACCCACCCCCCACTCCCACCCCCGGTAGTGCACGAAACCCCCCGGTAGTGCTGGGGGGGGGGGGTTCGTGCCACGGCGCACCGCCAACATATATGCAAATTTGTGTGGAGATAAAAACTTAAACATTTGCATATATATACATAGATGCATGCCTGTGTATACGGATGCCCATAGACATAGACATACATGTATTATCCGTCCCCCCCCACACACAGGTGGTACTACATGTTGCCTTGTGCTAGGTGGCTCCTACTTATCTTCTGCCGTCACCAGCGTCACGATCCTTCCGCCTTCTATCATCGGCGCCGTCGCTGCCAGCCGCGCGCTGTGCAGCTGCATCGCCACTCCACCACTCCCTGCCTGTCACATGCCAGACCGTAACGAACCTCGTGGCACATCTCCCATACCCCAAAAGAGGATCCCAAAGGACGCTTCTGGGTGGCGGCTGCGGACACGGCCCGCGGAGGTTTCACCCGCACCCCTCCCCCGCCCTCCACCTGTCTTCATCTGCCCCCATCCCCCGGTCGCGGAGCTGGGCGAGGCGCTTGTGGACGCGCAACTTGCCAACAAGCCCGTCGGGGTACTGTGCGATGCTGCCCGCGTCCGCGCTTCCACCGTCCTGCCGAGGGGGCGTCCTCCTCACAATCCTCCTCCTGGTCCCCCACCGATGATCCCACATCCTCGTAACCAGCGTCGTCCAATTGATGATCATCCTGCTGCTCCTAAACGTCGTCGTCGTCGCCATCATCATCATCATCATCATCATCATCAGCAGCAGCAGCATCATCATCATCAGCATCATCATCAGCATCATCATCAGCATCACCAGCAGCAGCATCAGCAGCATCAGCATCGTCATCATCATCATCATCATCAGCATCATCAGCATCAGCATCAGCATCATCAACATCATCAGCATCAGTATCATCAGTAGCATCAGCATCATTAGCATCATCATCATCTTCAGCAGCATTAGAAACAGCATCAGCATCAGCATCAGCATCATCATCAACATCAACATCACCATCATCATCCTGATCATCACCATCAGCATCATCATTAGCATCAACCGCATCGCTGTCGCATTCGCAACCGTCAGCATTGCGCGGACGTTGCGCCTCGGGCGTCTCGTCGAGTCCCCGACCGCGATCCCACGATAAGGGTGCATGCAGAGCCTCCAGCCTGGAACCTGCGGAGCAAGAGGCAGCGTGTGACGCCGACGTCGAGCGACGCGCCCGTGAGGCGAGACAGGATGCCCATCCTTATGATGATGCGGGTCGGTGCACGTTGCGAGGAAAGCTGTCCAGAAAAGCCATGTCGAGCGTGCGCCGCGTGCTTCCGATCAGGTGCCGCTGCATGCGAGGGATGTCGTACTATCGGAATCAGCTGCGAGCACAAAGACAATCGAAACAACTCAACCGATTGGCGCACCTGTATAAATGTATACTTCTGTGTATACATATACATATATGTGTATGTGTCCAGAAAGAGAATGAGAGAGAGAGGGGAAAACAAAAAAAAACATGCCACCCGTGTTACCACCTGAGCCATCGTAGTAACGATGGGCTCCAGAACATCGGCTGGCCTCTGGCCCCAACAAGCTCTTGGAGGCCAACCTGAGACACGATGTCTCATCCGCACTGGTATTAGTATCGATCAGGTGACTCTGACTCGCGGGCCTTCACTGATAGCTCTTCCTCCCCCGAGGACCAAACAGAGCAAACTCCTCCTGCATCCTCCTCCACGCCTCCTCCTCCTCCTCATCCTCTTCCTCCTCCTCCTCCTCCTCTTCCTCCTCCTCTTTCTCCCTCCTCCTCCTCCTCCTCGCCTCCTCCTTCTGCCCTCCTCCTCATCCCCCCTCCTCGCCTCCTCCTCCTCCTCCTCCTGTCATCCTCCCTCGCCCTCCCTCCTCCCCCTTGCAGAGCCGCTTTCTTCCTCCTCCTCCTCCTCCTCCTCCTCCTCCTCATCATCATCATCATCATCATCATCATCATCATCATCATCATCATCATCATCAGCAGCAGCAGCAGCATCATCATCATCATCATCATCATCATCATCATCATCATCATCATCATCTTCCTCAACCTCCTGTTTCTTCCCCTCCTCCTTCTCCTCATCATCCTCCTCCCCCTTTTCCTGCAAGAAACGGGAGCTGATATATCCATGGTGCATCGGATGGTGCCTACGGCGGTTGCCCTTTGGGGTTCGAGTGTCTCGGGATGGGCCCCCACCAAGATGACAGGCCTCCGTATCTCAGTGGTGAGTTCCATTAGCAGGCTTCCTAGAGATTCCTCACTTGAGCTCAGGATGTACACGTACATCGTCGTCTGTGTCGGGCACGTGATTTGAAGTAGGCAACGCCTGTATGGGAGGCGGTCCCGAATTCGCAGATCTTGGACACCACTCTCAGCCATACAGTTGCCAAATGTCGCAATGTGTCTCACCCATGGCGGTCGGCCTCCTTTGCTGCAGACGTCGCTCTGCGAGGAATCAGGTGGGAAAGCACGCCCATGGTGTCCGACGTGGGGATGGAATTCAACTTGCTTCGGGTGGCTACGATGTAGATTCGGGATGTCGTTCGACAGGTTGTGGTCCGAGGTCCGATCGGTATGCCCTTTCTCTTCAGAACGACCTCAACGAGCCTCCCGTGTTCCCGTTCTTCTGGCGCGGAGCCTCTCGGACTAAGCACCTCCAACGATGCTTAAGAGGCTCGGTGTTCAACGTGCAGTGGCCGCAGCAGCGGCTTTTCAATCACGGATTGCATGATGAAGCTGACTGCTGTCGTGTTTGCCGTGGAGCTCCTGGCACACTTTGGCATCGACGGCACGAGTGCCCAGCACACGCAGGTCTTCGGTGAAATAGTGTAGGAGCCAGGCTGATGAAATGTGCTCAGGATGTGCAACCGTGGTGTCCCATCATGAGTAAGGTTAGCTCGGGACATTTTCCCCGACCCCAGCGTAATGTCTGAGCACCCTGAGGCCCAGGATACGAGTTTGCGGCACAACCGACCCGATTCAGGTCTTCTCCCAGGGCCGATGTCTCTGGACGGCTCCGCCGAGTGGATGGGGCTCTCGGGCATGCCTAATTAGGGCTGGGCGGCCCACATGTAGCGTGGACAACCTTGGCGAGATTGTTTCTGCGGCGTACGGGCCTGCTCCCAGCCGGTACGGACGGAAAGGACTATGCGGTCCACATGTTGATCCCATCCCAGGAGGAGGAGGAGGAGGAGGAGGAGGAGGAAGAGGAGGAGGAGGAGGAGGAGAAGGAGCAGTGGGGCTTCACTGGACTGCCGGTCAGTGGTCCGTGCCCCGGCTCGGGGGCCTGGGTGCTCCGAGGGCCCTGGGGCTCCCCGCGGACACCTCTGGGGGCCCTTCCCTGGAGCTCGCTCAAATCAACGCGATGCTGCTCCCGTGCTGCGTCTGCAGATGCAGACGCTGGCCGCACGAGTTCACGGGAATGGAAGAAGAGAAAACGCCAGAAGCATAAACTCTTAGAGAGGCCCGCGCGGACTTCGGAGATTCGCGCGGGGCCCCTCTCCCTGGCGCGCGCGCCAGGGGCGGCGCCGGAGGCGCTGCCAGGGGAGCCCAGCGCAGATCCAAGCAATCCGCGCGGAGCGCCACAAGTTTGGTTTTATGGCGTGTTTAACCAGCCTCGAACGTATCCCTATCCCTAAGATGGGCGAGCAAAAAGCGAGGACAATCTTAGGGACAGGCCCTCAGAAACTGAGGGAATCCTCAAGATCGGCATCGAGGTAAGATGATGTCAAACATAGGGATAGGGATATGTTTCAGACTGGTAAGTGTTTCTCCTTCGAGATCCGTTCGCCAGGTTGGGTGCAGACGCCCACGGTCGAACCGAGGAGGACCTGCCACGTGTGGGCGCGGGCTCCGCAGGTCTGGCAGGCGAGGCGGCCAGCCTCGAACTTATCCCTACCCCTAATATTGACACGCCAAAAGGCGATGACAATCTTCGGGATTCGCCCTCAAAGAATAAGGGAATCCCTAGATTGCACCTTGAGGAGGAGATGCCCAGCATAGGGATACGGATATGTTCCAGGCTGGAAAAGGTGGGCGGCCACGCCAGAGACCGCCATCTCGAGCCCCCGCCTGGGATGCGGCTGGGCTCCAAGCCGGGCCGGCCCTGCCGCCAGCCGCTGCCGAGCCTACGGACGATCCTCAGGGCCAGGCGACGGCCGAGGACGACCGACCCGGGGAGGAGGGTGAGGACTCGGGAGATGCGGCAGCGTCTGCTGCACAAGTCTTCCGAGTCAGTGGTCATGATTTCCTTGGACCTGGGTTTCGAGAACCGCCCAAGGGGGAGATCCGGTTCTGCTGCAGGCGTAGCTGTTTCTATTCTGGAGGCCCTTCGTCCAAGGGAGTTCGAGACCCCTGTCAGCCCGAAGTTGGCTTGTACGGGGCGGCTGGGTGACCCAACTGAGGCGAATTCGTCAGTCGAAGTTCCCCTCTTACAAGAAGGACCTGAAAGGGCTGACCCTCGGGCCCCACGAGGGCCTTTCTCTCGTCATGCGTCGGCCGCTGGTCGATTCTCCGGCGCGCCCAGTTCGGCTGTTTTTTTTTGGGCCAACGATGAGCACCGTACCACCACGTGCGTCCTCTCGGTGGCAAACTGGGGCTCCAGCCCAAGCACACAGTCTGCAGCTACTGGCGAAAGCGAGAGCAGGCCGAGCTGAAGCGCGCAGCAAGAACGGAGGTGGACTGCAGACTCCCGGCCCAGTTCGGCCGTTTTGGCCTCGGACAGGGACTTGCTGTCCGCGAGCGTGCTCTGGATTCCCAGAGATCCGACGTCTCGATTTTTTCGAGACGTGGGCCCCCGACCTCCCGACCACTTCCCTGGGACCGGTTTTTCATCCCGAGTCGTTTTTTGACGGTCCCGAGGACCAGCGAAGGCCCCGAGAGGCCGAAAACGACGAGAAACCTCCGTTTCGACTTTTTCGAGACGCCCGATGTCTGGGTTCTTTGGGCCTCAGGGAGGCCGGCCTCGCCTGGTTGCGTGCCAGAGGCGAGGCCACGACGCGTCCCCCCGGTAGCTTCGAAGAGGGCTCGGACCCGGACGCGGCCGACTGTGTCTGGTCCCGTGGGATGGCTTCAGGCCCGCCCCCAGTCTCTCCCTCCTCGTCCTCCCCCTCCTCCTCCTCCTCCTCCTCCTCCACCTCCTCCTCCTCCTCCTCCTCCTCCACCTCCACCTCCTCCTCCTCATCCTCCTCCTCCTCCTCCTCCTCCTCCTCCTCCTCCTCCCCCTCCTCCTCCATCCCTTGTACATTCAGAGAACTATTCCCCGCCACACCGCCAGACGCGTCGGCAGGGTGCACCAGGCGTTTCGCCTGAGACTTCTATACCACTTCTAATCATAAAGCTAAAAACCTGAAAGAGCTTCAATAGAAAGCGGGTCGTTTTCAAAATGGAGCTCGCGCCCTAGCGCAACGCACATCGTGTTTTGTTTAGGAACTGCAGCCGCTTCGGGGATAGAGGACGGGCCATGTTCAAAGCGGAGCTCTCGCCCCAGCGCCGCGCACATTCGTCTCGAACTTCTGCAGCAGCTTCAAGGGGGGAGGGCGGTTCCTTGCAAGAGTGGGGGGCCCACACCTTAGCACCGCGCACATGGGTCTGAAGAGTAGAGTTGGCAGGAGGAGGGGGAGGAGGAGGAGGAGGAGGAGGAGGAGGAGGAGGAGGAGGAGGCGGAGGAGGAGGAGGAGGAGGAGGAGGAGGAGGAGGCGGAGGAGGGGAGGAGGAGAGGAGGAGGGAGGAGGAGCAGGAAGCAGGAGGAGGAGGGGGAGGAGGAGGGCGGGCAGTTCTCAAGACGGGGGCGCTCGCCCGAGCGCCGCGCGAGCATGCGGCTGCAGGCCGCTCGGCGTGCAGCCTCGGGAAACGGAGAGGGCGTGCCGTTCTCTCCCAAGGGGAGCCCTCGCCCACTGGCCTGCGAGGTGTGCGGCAGCTGCAGGGAAGGTGGGCGGTTTTCAATTTCGAAGCGGGGCCCTCGCGTTGAAAACCTGATTATCGTTTCACCGATCCCCATCCCCACCAGCGTGGGCTGGGCCCCACCGGCCGATTTACCCTCCCTGGATGGGGATACAGGCTGTATCCTTCGAGTTTCGAGGTGTGTATCCCCAACTGGGGGTGTAATTTGGTGGGGGTCTCGAAGGGGATGAGCATGGGGATGGGGATCGATTAAACGATACTGAAAACCAGAAACTGGATCATGTGCAACAGCTGCACGGACAAAGTGAGGCTCCTGCTCGAACGTTGGCGCTCGCGTGAGAGTTACTTGAACTGAACAGCCGGAAACTCGATATGGTACAGCTGCACGGATGGAGGGCGGCTCATGTTCAAAATGGAGCTTCGCTGGCAACTTGCTCTATGCTCAGGGCCATCTGCGAAAACCTGTGCAGGAGTTACACAGGTGGGGGGTGGTCCTTGTTCAAAACGAGGATATCGTTGGACATCTCGCTGAACCGTATGCAGGGCAGCGAAGTCCTTTTTCCAAGCGGGCCTCTCGCCCGCATGGCAGGCCCGTAGTTTGCTCGTCTTTGAAGTGACAGGGATGGCCTGCAAGAACTCATGAACAGGGGACTTAGGACTGGAGGGTGTATCGAAGCATCGTTGGTGCCTCTTGGATTTACTCTGGTTCGCCTCGCCCTCTTCCTCCTCCTCCTCCTCCTCCTCCTCCTCCTCCTGCTCCTCATCATCTTCCTCCTCCTCCTCCGCCTCCTCCTCCTCCTCCTCCTCCGCCTCCCCTCCTCCTCCTCCTCCTCCTCCTCCTCCTCCTCCTCCTCCTCCTCCTCCTCCTCATCTTTCCTCCTCCTCCTCCTCCTCCTCCTCCTCCTGCTCCTCCTCCTTTTGATCCCCGACCCCTCCCGCATCCTCGCCGTCGGGGCCGTCGAGCAGCTCGGGCAGCACGGCCGGCAGTTGGATAAGGAAGTACTTGTGCTGAGGAGCGACCGACGACGACGACGACGACGATGATGACGACGATGATCTGTCGAAGAAGACGACGACGACGACGACGACGACGACGACAGCGGCGGCAGCGACAGCGGCACGACGATGACGACGCGACGAAGAGGAGGGTGAAGGAGAACGACGAGGAGGAGAAGCGCACTCACGTACACCAAGAAGTAAGGTAAGCAGGCCTCCGCCCGGCCCGTCTTGTACACATCTGGCTGGACGTTCCGCGCTTGCGAGCCTGCCTCAGAGAATGCCCACCGCACTGACGTTACGGGGGACCAGCTCAGGGGGGGAACATCGATCTGAAATCGGCGATACATCGCCGATAGATCGGCGATGGAGGACCAGCAGGAGGAGCAGCAGGAGCAGGCAGGAGCAGCAGGAGGGGGGAGGAACAGCAGCAGGAGCAGCAGGAGCAGCAGCCGGACAGCAGCAGGCGGAGCAGCAGGAGAAGCAGGAGGAACATAACGAGGAGCAGCAGGAGGATGAGGAGGAGGAGCGGCAGCAGGAGCAGCAGCAGGAGGAGCAGCAGGCGGAACAGCGGGAGCAGCAGCAGGAGGACGAGCAGGAAGAGCACGGAAGGAGGAGGAACAAAGGTGGACACCTACGCGTACGTTCGTGACCGTTACGGTGTGGGGTTGGGGTGGGGGTGTGGGGGGGGGGGGGGGGGGCGACCCCATTGTCACGGACGTTACGGTTCCAACTAATCAACAAACACTCTCCTGGGCATGGGCTGAAAGCGCTGACCACAGGGGAGCCAAGACACCAATATCTGCGGGCACAAGTCATGCCAAAGACAGCCCACAGGCAAGACCAGACACACCCCCTCGGCTACACGCAAGAGTGACCCTAGGCAAGGGTGGCCTTGGTGCCCAGATTCAGGAGGCCGCAAGGGGTGGGCCATGTCCAACCGCGGCGCCAACCTGTCGGCCGCATCGAAGGTCACTCCGGCAAAGGGCCGCTCTGACGTGCAGCCACCCGCTCCCGCCGCGCGACCCCCCCCCGCCCGCTCCAGGGCCCACAGGCCTCAGCGAAGACGTCCGAAGATCCTCGGGGGACACCCCCGCTGTCGGCCCGCGTCCAGGGGCCACTCCCGCGAAGGGCCGCCCTCCTCCGCGCGCCCCCCCCCCCCTCCGCGCCCTGGGCCCGAGTCCCCCCGCGCGGCCCCGCGCGCGCCAGAGCCGCACGGCAGCGGCGCGCCTCCTGCAGGGCACCGTCCTTGGAGAGGAAGAGGTCCTCCGCGCGGGCCCAGCGGGGGCCCCGAGGGGGGGGAGGGGGGGGGGGGGGGGGGGGCGAACCGCCGCCCCGGGAAAGGGGGGAGCTCCTGCCTCCCGCTCCCTCGCTCCTCGCCCCCCTCCCCCTCCACGCCCTCACTCCTCCGTCCTGCTCTTGGCTCCCCCCCCCCCTTCCCGCCCTCGCTCCTCCTCTGCTCCAGCTCCTGGCTGGCCCTCGCCCCCCTCCTCCTCCCCAGACGCCCGTCGTCTCGACTCTGTTCGAGACGCGGGCCCCCGATCTCCCGACCACTTCCCCGGGACCGGCTCTCCATCCCGCGTCGTTCTGTTGTTGACGGTCCCGAGGCCCGGCGAGGGCCCTCAGAGAGGCCGCACATGACGACAAACCTCCGTCTCCGTCTTGCCGAGACGCCCGGCATCTGTGCCCCCGCTCCTCCCTGCTCCCGCTCCCGCAGGACGAGTCGGGCGTCCCTGGCCAGGCGAGCCAGGCAGGGGGCCGGGCAGGGCGCCGACAGGGCAGCCAGGGTCAGAGGCCTGGCCCCCCGGACGGCTCGGTCGACGAGGCTGGCGTGTCCTGAGCATTTTCTCAGGGTGGGGGGCTCAGGGTGAAATCCATATGGGCTTTTGCGCCAATCAGGTCGTCTTGCGATTCGCCTGTTGCAGGCCCACAGAAGATGCTCGGCTGTCTGAATGAGAACCGTCCAGGCTACGCGGGGAGACTTCCAGTCGGTTGATTTCCAGCAGGCCGGAAGGAAGAGGCAAGAGAATCGTGATACCAGGCTACCAAGTCGCCCCCGAAGGGGAAGAGAGGCGTCGTCGGCAACCGCGTCTCCTGAATGTCGTCGTCCTCGGCGAAGTCGAACCGTGTACTTGCACTGGTACTGTCTGGTCCCACATGGCGTCAGCGCTCCGGTCCACCTCAGTGTCTGAAGCGTCGGCCTCCGCCGTCGAGTGCTGGACCCTTGGCGGCGTCTGGGGACTCTCTGCGTTCCGTCGGACCGGCGCTGGCGTCGGAACCGTGAGGGTGCAGAGCACGTCGCCCGCAGACCCAGACCTCCGACGCCTCGATTTCTCGAGACGGGCCCCCGACCCGGACCGGGCCCGAGGTCTGCAGAGCACGTCGTCCGCAGGCTGGCGGCACCGCCACGAGCGGGGGGGCCTGTGGGGAGCGGCTCTTCGGCGCCGCGCGAGGGGCTTGTGGGCCGCGGGCGCCGGGCCCGGACAGCCGGGCTGGTCGCCGGGCGGGGGGCCGGGCTGGGAGCTGGCCATATATCGGGTCGGGCGAAAGGGGGGGATAGCAAAGGGGGGGTTTGAGAATCAGCTCGCGTAGCTGATTTTCCCGGCGCCTCCCGGCGTCGGAGGCGACCATGTATCGAGGAATGGGCCCCTCGGCGAGGCCGAAACCAGCTGCATGCAGCAAATTTCGTAACCCCCCCTTTCCCAATCCCCCCCTTTCGCCCGACCCGAATATAGGGCGCCGGGCGGGGCCCCCGGGCGGGGAGCCGGCCGGGTTCCAGACAGAGCGCGGCTGGCGGGGAGCCGGGCTGAGGGCCGGGCGTGGGGCCGGGCGGGGCGCCAGGCAGGGCGCCAGGTCCCCGGAGGTTCGGCGCCCTGGAAAAATCAGCACGGAGGGTTTTCGCAGTTCTCGGCTTCTGGGGGCCCGCGCCGGGCCCCCAGAACCGTCAAAAAACGGCTCTGGATGAAAAACCGGCCTCGGGGAATGCATCGAGACGGCCGGGGACCCCGTATAGAAAAAATCACGACATCGGATCTCTGGGGACTGGGCGCGAGGCCGGGCGTCCGGGATCGCATCGCTCGAGGCTCTCTCTGCGTGTGTTCGATATCTTCGCCTCCAGCAGCTGCGATGGGAGCATCGTGGTGTCGTCCTTCAACGTGGCCACCAGGCTCGTCGCGCGCCAGCGCGCCCGAATCTCCAGCATCAGCCCCACACATGCGAAGTCCGGATGTTTTCAGGACGGCGTCCCCTGAAGTCCCGACCCTTTCCCCGGGGCAGGTTTTCATCCTGAATTATTTGTTGACGGCTGTGGGGACCGGCGAGGGCCCCCCACGGCCGAAATTGGCCAAAAACCGCCCGTCTTGATTTTTCAACGACGCGATCCTCGTGACTCCCTTGGGGCACCACCTTCGCGACGTCCGCGTGGCCCCCCTGCGCTTCGGCAGGGGGGCGTGGCGGCGGCGCTCGCGCCGTCTTCTGCGGGGGAGGCGCCAAGCCCACGTCCCGAGCAGCGGGCTGCCGCCCTCTGGGCTGCGGCTCGAGCTGTGCTCTGCCGCGACGGACCCAGACATCCGTCGCCTCGATTTGTTCGAGACGCGGGCTCCCGATTTACCGACCACTTCCACGGGACCGGTTCTCCATCCCGGGTCGTTTTTTGACGGTCCCGAAACCCGGCGAGGGCCCCGAGACGCAGCACATGACGATTACGCTACCGAGGAGCCCCACATACTTATTTGATGGCTGGAGCGATGATAGCTGAAGTGAATCATGTGAGAACGGTGTTGGCGGCCGCTCCCTGCGCCCTCCCTAATGGCGTCGACAATACGCAACGCCTGCTACGCCCTGGACGACTGGCTCGGATAGCGGCCGCGCTCAGAGACCACCCCCTGCGCACCCCGTACGGAGTCGAGGAAAGTGCCACGCCTGCTACGCCCTGGACGACTGGCTCGGATGGCGGCCGCGCTCAGAGACCACCCCCTGCGCACCCCGCACGACGTCGGGAAAATGCCGCGCCTGCGTCGCCCTGGACGACTGGCTCGGATAGCAGCCGCGCTCAGAGACCATCCCCCGCGCACCCCATACGGCGTCGAGAACTCGCCACGCCTGATATGCCCTGGACGACCAGCTCGGGCAGCGGCCGCGCTCAGAAACCACCCCCTGGCCCCTGCGCGCCCCCTATGGCGTCGAGAAAGTGCCACGCCCGCAACGCCCTGGACGACCGGCTCGGATAGCGGCCGCGCTCAGAGACCTCGCCCTGCGCACCCCCTATGGCGTCGAGAATACGCCACGCCCGCTCTGCCCTGAACGACCGGCTCGAATAGCAGCCGCGCTGCCAGCCTCGCGCACTCGCCGAGGCTTCGCTGGCGGGCCGCCGTCGTGTTCCCCAGTCTGCCCCGCTGATCTAAAAGCACCTCCCGGGGGAATCCTCCCGGGGGAATCCGCCCGACGCAGAGAATCCGCCCGCCCGACGCTGGCGGCGGTACGCATTAACTGCGGACAGCACCACTCCGTGGGCACATCTGCGCGAGTTCTCCAAGCTGACCTCGCCACCCATCTGAGTCATTGCGTTCTTCATCGCCAAACACGCCTGCCACGCTTTGCGACCACGAAACGGATAGCGCTCCCACCCCCAGCGCAGCCCCGGTGGTGTCGAGGAAATGCCGCGCTTGCCACACTTTGCGAGCCCGGAACGGACGGCGCTCCCACCCTGAGCTCACTCCCCAAGGTGTCAAGGATGTGCCACGCCTGCCACGCTTTGCGAGCCCGGAACGGATGGCGCTCCCACCCCCAGCTCACCCCCCAAGGTGTCGAGGATGTGCCACACCTGCCACGCTTTGCGAGCCCGAAACAGATAGCGCTCCCACCCCCAGCTCACCCCCTGTCGTGTCAAGGGTGTGCCACACCTGCCACGCTTTGCGAGCCCGAAACGGAGAGCGCTCCCCCCCCCCAGCGCTTCCCCGGTGGTGTCGAGGAAGTGCCACGCCTGCCACGCTTTGCGAGCCCGAAACTGATAGCGCTCCCATCCCCAACGCAACCCCTGTGGTGTCGAGGGTGTGCCACACCTGCCACGCTTTGCGAGCCCGAAACAGATAGCGCCCCCACCCCCAGCACTTCCCCGGTGGTGTCGAGGAAGTGCCACGCCTGCCACGCAGTGCGAGCCCGAAACGGATAGCGCCCCCACCCCCAGCTCACCCCCTGTGGTGTCGAGATGTGCCACGCCTGCCACGCCTTGCGAGCCCGAAACGGATGGCGCTCCCACACGTCATGGGTGTATGATGCAGTGAACACGCCAGGCGTGCACTAGCGTTCTATGGTGTATGTTTTGTGTGTGTGTGCGAGTGTGTGCATGCGTGCGGCTGCATGTAGACGCGTGTCTGATGCACGTGCCGTGCATGAGTTGCGTGTGGGTGAAGGGAGGAAGGAAGTGGAGGAGGGGAAGGAAGGAGGAGGGAGGGGAGGCGGGTGAGGAGGAGACGTGGGCGCGACGCGGCGGGGATGAAAACCAGAACCCCACGAAGCACATGGGGAAAAAACCTCCGTCACGATTTTATCGAGACTTTTTTACACTGCACCGCTGACGAGCAGGCTCCAAGGGCAAAGAGTTTGCCTGGGACTGGAGGCCAGGGCACGATTTTTTCGAGACGCCCGATGTCTTGGGAGGGACCCCGAGCCTCTCCGGCGCCGCTCTCTCCAGCTCCTCGGCGACGGCCTCCTCTCTGCGGCGGCGCCCCGAGAGGCCATGCCAGGGCCTTGGCCTGACGGGGCTGGGCGGCAGACAAGAGCAAAAACGAACGCGCGCTGGCTTGAGCCAGCGCGGCTCGAGCCAGCCTGAGCGTCACCGTTCCCAAACGTCGGGCGTCTCGAAAAAAAAACAAGACGGAGGTGCTTCGTCGTTTGCGGCCTCTCGGCGCCCTCGCCGGGCCTCGGGACCGTCAGAAAACAACTCGGGATGGAGAACTGGTCCCGGGGAAGTGGTGGGAAAATCGGGAGCCCGCGTCTCGAACAAATCGAGACTAGGGATGTCTGGGGTCACCATTGCCAGTACAATCAGGATCAGCATCGCATCTTCCCAGATCCCCCCTCGCCACTCAGTAGCTGATCCCCTCCCTCCCCTTCTAACCCCCCGTTCCCGGGAAGGGGCAGCAGGGGGAGAAAGAGGAGAACCTCGAGGGGGGCGAGGCGAAAAAACGAGGAGGACGACCACGAGCGGAGCAGAAGAGGTAGAGAGAAGACCCTCTCCCTAGCGAAGACGTCGGCGGCGGCGGTGGCACCGCACGGCGCGCCTTGGCAGCATTGGCGTTCGCCTCGTCGAGCCTCGTCAGCATCGGCCTGCTCTGTTGCTTGGCGGCACCGCTATCCTCCTGCGGCGAGGCTCTGAAAGGTCGTCATCGTCGTCGCCGTGGTTGCGTCGTCGTCGTTGTCGTCGTTGTCGTCGTCGTCGTCGTTGTCGTCGCCGACGTCATCGTCGTCGTCGCGGCGTCGTCGTCGTCGTCGTCGCCGCCGCCGCCGCCGCATCCGTCGTTGTCGCGTCGTCGTCGTCGTCGTCGTCGTCGTCGTCGTCGTCGTCGGGGTCGGGCTCGGGGTCGGGCTCGGGGTCGGGGCTGGACCCAGAGAGGAAGATCAGAAGGGCGAAGAGGATTAGGAAGGGAAGGGGAGGAGGACGAGGAAGGGGAGGGGAGGAGGACGAAGGGGAGGGGGGCAAGCTGGAGAACCCAGCGTGGAGGAGTCCGAAGATCGAGCCTCGCCTGCTGGCAGGAGCGGCCTGCGGAAGCGCAGGCGCAAAACAACGTTCGGCATCGCACCAAGCGGGCGATTCGCAGGATGGGGGAGAGGAGGAGGCCGATGACCATATACACGTCGACCTCTGGGATGAAAGCTCTGGCCTGGATGTGTGGCTGGAGGCTCGACAAAAAAAGGCATCGGATGGCTATACCACCGTTCCTGAAGAAATCCCGTCGCACAGGGAGCTACGTCCCCGTAACTCGCAAGGCGCGTGCGCAGGCAGGTGTTCGAGCGGCGTAGCTGGCTGCACGGGGAAGGAGACGAAGCGGACCACGGTTGCGAGGTAAATGCAGGATGTCCAATGTTGGGTTCACGATCTTGGAGCAGCTCTGGTAATGTCTGGTAATGCAGGTAGGTGTCGGTATGTTCAATCAGACCCGAGCCGCTGTAGAAAATTGAAAGCCGCAAGCCGTCGGGGTGCAGAATCCGATGAGATGTCATCCACTGATCTGCCATCGAACGGATCAAAGCCATAGAAACGCATGTGGGGGGAATCCGCAACACGGCACGATGTTCCTGTGAATCCTCCGCAACGAGGTCGTCGACACGATGCGGAAACAATCTCACCAAACGCTGATGAAACAGGTCGTGCAATTCTGCCAGGAGGGGCGAGGGTAGCAGAAACAGCTCGTTGAGGGCGAGGCTTAGAGATCCCAGGAGACAACGATGCCATCGCAGCGCCGATCGCGAGCTGCAGGGCGAGTTTTGAAAACGCTCGATACTCCAGCGTGCTCGTGGCCACTCACTCCAAAGGTTCGCTGTACGAGGGTGCGGCCCAGACTTCTTCAGCGGTTTCCTTCTCAAGCTGCCCACGCCTCTTCGCGGCCCCCTGCTGCTCCAGGCTCGCATGCATATTAATACACTTAACGGGGCCAAACAGGACAACGACACCGCGATCGGAGACCTCAACTTATTCGCGAGTCCACAAGTGCTTAAAGCGGATGGCGCAGGGCAAGACGGGCATCCCGGCGAGCAACAGCACGGGCAAGATACCGACAGACCATCGCTCGAGATGTGAGCCGACGGGGCTGCCACAGGAGCTGAAGGCCTCGAACTGCAATGACTGATTGCTAGCGGCACAAGGCTGCCATCTCAAGCTGCTCAGGAGGAGCAAGGGTATCAAACTTGACCTGCGCCTCGCATGATTGGACCATCTGCAGGTAAAGGAGTCGGAGCACAAGTGGCGCGGGAGAGGACGGGGGCGATGATCCGAACCAGCTGGCGCGGGGCGCTCGGCAAGCGCGATGCTCGCCGGTGCGCGGCCACAAATTTCAGCCTTGTGCACCTCCTTAGGTTCCCCAAAGACGCGCAAGGATTGGAACCCTTGGCATGATAGCCACGGGGGCGAGGCAAGGAAGCAGCGGTCTACCTTCGCACAGGAGCGCGCGCCCTGATGCCAGCACGTGGGAAGGTCGCCAGCAAGCTCCGCGAGCATCCTAAAAATAGATCGCCAAGCTCCATCTCCAGGGCGCCCGCCTCTCGCCTCGACCCCGGAAGTCCCAGACTCGCGATCGCCGTTGCAAATATAGAAGCCCCCCTGCAACACCAGCCCGAAATCGAGAGGCGCGCTCCGCACCACTTCGCCTTGGGACTTGATGCGTTCGCGAGCCCGTCTAATCTCGTCAAGGCTCAGATCAACATTGTGGACATTTCAGTGCCAGAGACGGACGCCAGAGGAGATGCTCCAAGTTTCTAAAGCCAGAATTCCCCCACAGACACCCACAT